AATATTCGAGTGCTAGTGATGTGTGGAGCTATGGAGCTGTAATGTATGAGATTTGGTCTTTAGGACATAAACCATTTGAAAACTCTACTAATCAAGAGGTATAACATTAATATTATACTTTTTAAATTTAATTTAATTTTACTAATTTTAGTGCATTAGACTGGTTGATTCAGGCTATAGATTACCACCTCCTCCAGGATGTCCTAAACCAATGTATAAACTAATGATGCAATGCTGGTATGTATTTATTATACTGTAACAACACAAAACAAAAACAACTATCAAATATCCATAATGACATTATAATACCAATGCACTACACAGTGCAGTGCAGTGAGAGTACATCCTAATAAGGTGAACTGAGTGGATTATTATAATCATACACAACCATATCATGCTTTCATGCACACCCACACACAATTAGTATATGTAATAGTGATGTCATCATTGTATTGTATAGGAATCCTGATACTCATGATCGTCCAAGTTTCTCAGATATATCATCAAGTCTATCCTCACCTGATAAACAATTACTAATGATTAATAAAGAGGATCCTGTTACTGTACTGGGTGGAGCTTTAGAAACAAGCCACTCCCTCTACACCGACTTACAGTACATGTACAAGAACTGATTGATTGTGTAGCCAGTTTATATACCAGTACATTGTGTTTAATGGTTTGTTTTCTATTTCTGTATAGAATAATTGTTGTGTTTTTGCTGCAGAATTATTTCTTTAATTAATCTGATTATGCATATTTGCTAGATAAAGCATCAGTGCTACAGCTAATGATGATTATTGTGAAACAATCCTTTCTTATGTGTGTATAATAACTAGGATTGGTTTATTGGTGAATATCAATGCTCCACTGATGCATGCAATAGCTATTGAAGAGTTACTGGTACTTAAGGTGTGGCAGTTATGATGTTAATAGTGAAAGTCATCATTGCAGTTGTGTTTCTTTCACAGTCAAGATGTACCTCTCTCTCCTTTCTTTATTGTTGTTATTGTTAAATGGTACAGTACAGTCTAATGATTGTAGTACTGAAGGATTTATGGAACTAAGTTTACTGGAGGCTAAAACTGGTAGTACTAACAACAATGGACCAACTACTGCAGGACTAGCAGAATCAGTAGAAACAAGATGGATCATCACTGATAGGATGTTCAGTGAGGATTGCATTAGTTCACTGACTGCATTAATTGGAGTTGACATTAGAACTGTAACTGGTAGCAGGACTGAATATCCTAGAATAGAGATATGGAGAGAAACAGCACTTCATTATCATAGAGACCAAGTATCTGTTGAACTTAGATTATCTCCAGACAATTTCACCACAAATGGACTGTATTGTGTTACATTACCTACTCCTCTGAACATTAGTCAGCTGACAGGTACCAGCAGATTTTACAGACTTGGAGTATATCAACCTCCTGATGATAGAAGTGTTGTAAGATTTTATAAAGTAACTGGAACTGGTCAAATTGGAAGAGTAAAAAATATTAATGATGTTGGAAAAATGTCTGTTCGTGGTGATATAGTATTACAAACCTCAAGTATCTTAATACATCCAATTACATTAGGTATGTCATAATGAAATGTATTTTTTATTTTAATGTATTTATAGGTAGCAGATGCAGTTATCCTCCAATTGACAGTTCATTTAATACAAACAGTCTATCAGTTACTAATGTAATACCAGTCAATGATACAAGAGCTTTTCCTGATATACAGTTCACATGTAATGGTACTATTACTAACTGAATAATAGGTATTACACAGAGTCAGGATACAAGCAAACATTATCCTAACATTTATCTAAAACGTTCTTCTGAACTGATTCATGCACTAAATGTTGATGCTTCTGCTACTACATCAAGTAATGGTAATGTATATCTCTTTACAAGTGATATTGAAGTAGAGTATGGAGATATATTAGTAATCAATGTAACCACTAATAGTAATCCAATGTATTATCAACAATACAATGAACCATTGAATTACCAGCTTGATGATAGCAGTGATGAATTAATACCATTGGAACATAATGACTATCCACTGATATCAGTTGTAGTAGGTAAGAACTATAATAGTATATACATGAACTGTGTTTGTTCTCTTCTGATACAGTCAGTGTTCCAGCATCATTAACAACAGATACAATGATACCTTGCACAACAAGTACCAGCAGTACCACAAGTAAGACTACACTATCATGATGATGCTATTTACAAATACACACCTCCACTGCATGCACAGTTCCAGGAATAACCACTACAATTAGTAGTACATTAACTCCTTTCATGAGTGAGTTATCAACAATTACTACTAACATAAATACTCTTCCTGTCTCATTAGGCAGCTATGCATTCATCCACTCCACAACTGCTGTAACAACAGAATCAACAAAATTCTTCATAACATCAACATCAAGTATCACTAAAGATAGTCTTACAATAGGTACTACATCAGTGATGAGTACACCAGTTAGTACATTACAAAGTACTGGCAGTAATACACTAATAATAGCAGGAAGTATTAGTACAGTATTTATATTACTGGTAGTTACTATACTAGTAATATTAATAGTGAGTGTATTAGTGTATAAAAGACGACACCTAAAGCTAACATCAAGAGGTAATTATCAAATGGATACACATTCAACTGAGACAGAACTGATTAACATGTCTAATCCTACCTACCAACCACAAGGTATTACAATGACAATAAAAGCTATTGATCAAAATACACTGCTTTGGTGCAGCAGGGTAGTACATTAGCTTTTATTGCTACTAGATTAACTGTATCAATTTATGATAACAATAATAATAACATATTTCATTTCAGTAGAGTACACTATTACTTTGTTTGTAGGTATGAATCCATTTCCATATGAAGAGCCAAAACCAGTAATGAAATAGAATCAGTGTACAGTGATGTCTTAATCAATATGTTTTAGACTATTTGTCAAACTGAAAATGAAACTTATAACTTATTAGAAGAAGCACTCACCGTTCCCACAGCAGTATGTTATCTGCTATCATGAATGATAATAATTTAATGTGCTAATGAAATTTAGAATGAACGTATGGGTGGAGGAAAACAGCAACAAGACATTTATTCCACATTGATGAATGAGCAGGTACAAAATACAATATGATATAGTTTTCATACAAATGATATATACAGAAGATATTTACTTTATTTTATTTTTAGTATTCCTCTCCATATTCAAGACTTGATCATACTGGTGGTAATGGATTCTTTATAGAAGATACTGAGTACTGGGAACCTGATAGTAATACTGATGGTATATACCAACAATTATCTGATAGGAAATACAGAGAAATTATAAGACACCAAATAAAGTAAGAGAGAGGGAGAGAGAGAGAGAGTGTGTGTGTGTGTGTGTGATCATAGAGAGAGGGAGAATTCATAGCAGTAACAGGAAAAGCAATAACATGTATGGCTTCATGAATATGTACACATTCTCACTCCAATAGAGTAACAGATTATTTAGGATCAGGACAGTTTGGTACAGTTAATAAAGGACTATGGACTACACCTACTGCTGGATCAGTCTCTGTTGCTATTAAAACACTTAATGATAATACTTCAGAGGATGAGAGAGTAAAGTTTCTACAAGAGGCAGCCATTATGGGTCAGTTTCATCATCCTAATGTTGTTAAACTACATGGAGTGGTCACCATTGGACATCCTGTGAGTCTGTAGTATTACTAATGATTGTACTCTTTAATAATTATTAAATGTTGTACATAGATAATGATAGTACTGGAATTGATATCTGGAGGTGACTTGAAAGAGTATCTTAACAAATTTAAACCATCGTAAGTTTATATCAATAGTTGCACTAATATCTCTTGTCTCTCTTTTCTCTTAGTCCTGGGGAGTTAGTATTATCATCAGTTCCTTCTATTTTGCTCTCATTCTGTCGTCAAATTGCTTCAGGAATGGAGTACTTGTCAAAGAAGAAGTTTGTTCACAGAGATCTTGCAGCAAGAAATATACTAACAATTGGACTTTATATAGTATGGTCTCAGATTGCTGACTTTGGTATGTCAAGGGATCTACAAGATGAATCTTATTATATTTCACAAGCAAAAAAGATTCCAATAAAATGGACAGCACCAGAAGTAATTAGAAACTATATAATTAGAATATTGAATTGTGTATGTATAGGCATTACATTATAAGAAATATTCCAGTGCTAGTGATGTGTGGAGTTATGGAGCTGTAATGTATGAGATTTGGTCTTTAGGACATAAACCATTTGAAAACTCTACTAATCAAGAAGTATAACATTAATACTATACTTTTTAAATTTAATTTTACTAATTTTAGTGCATTAGACTGGTTGATTCAGGCTATAGATTACCACCTCCTCCAGGATGTCCTAAACCAATGTATAAACTAATGATGCAATGCTGGTATGTATTTATTATACTGTAACATGAAAGTTAACTACACAAAAAGTATCTACACATAATCATTTAACACAAATATTGACCTTTTGGGTCAAATTACTAATATCCATAATGCAGAGGCGTATTTAGGGGGGGGGGGCTGAGGGGGCTTGAGCACCCCCCTCAGGGCTGGGCTCAGAAAAAAATTACTGAAGTCCTGGACTCTTGCATCACTACCAAGCCTCTTAACAAAGTTATCTAGCCCCCTTATCATGATTTCAGCAGTTTCTAGTGCTTTAAGGAGCAATCAGAAGTACCAGTAACATAGCAGTATGCTTGAAATGATCTTGGCCCCACCCGTAATTGACGAAAATGCAGGAAAAGGCCGTTATACCGCCGTAAAAGTGGGTGTGGCCAAAATCGCGGCGCGCTTCGCGCGCCCTCAGCACCCCCCTTCCCCAATTCCTAGATACGCCCCTGTAATGACATTATATACCAATGTACTATAGACAGTGTAGTGAGTGTACATCCTAATAATGTGAAGTTACTAGAAGAAGTGAAACATTTGAAAGAGCTCAGCCCCGAGCGTCAAGCCACACTATTGTTGTGTTGTATGACCTTCCTTGCTGCTAGAGAGGTTTTTGGATAGCAGTTTCATTTTGCTGACCACTCAGACTTACTGTTAGCAGCCATTTTGATCCTACTGCCCGTACTATGCAGACAGACAGATGCATATTTCATCTTAAGCTCAACGTCCAATAGTCGACTTTGTTGAAATCAATAGCAGTTTCATTACCTGAAACAGAACACTGTTCTATTTCAGGTAACTAAGTTGACACACATCAAAGTAACCACAAAGTTGCTTTCAACAAATTTGTCACAGTGGATGTTCGGCTTTAGTGGGCTTCGTCCAATTATAATCATACACAATTACCACATGCTTCCGTGTGCAATTAGTATGTATAACAACAAGAGTAAATATTACCTAACCTGAATAGGTATTATTTACTCTTGGTAATTGTGATTTCATCATTGCATTGTATAGGAATCCTGATACTCATGATTGTCCAAGTTTCTCAGATATATCATCAAGTCTATCCTCACCTGATAAACAATTACTAATGATTAATAAAGAGGATCCTGTTACTGTACTGGGTGGAGCTTTAGAAACAAGCCACTCCCTCTACAACAACTTACAGTGCATGTACAAGAACTGATTGATTGTGTAGCCAGTTTATATACCAGTACATTGTGTTTAATGGTTTGTTTTCTGTACATTAATAATATTAATTGTATGCTGCTGCATTATTATTTGTTATAATGCATTCTACAGTTAATGATGATATTGTAAAAGCAATCCTTTTTTTATGTGTGTTTTAAATGGAATTGGTTCCATTTATAAATTAATTATAAATTATTAATAGTCCAGAATAAAACTGCTGTGTTTATTCTTTATTGCAATCAATGCTCACTAGTACATGAATATACTCAAAGATGAATTGTACATCATACATGTACAGAATCTTTATACATTAATAAACAGTACACATGATCCCTTTAAAGCTAATAATTGAATCACAATATTAATGAGTGGACCCTCAAAATGTACTGCTCACTATAGTCTAGCTATTGAAAAGTTATTTTAAGGTGGGGCAGTTATGAATATGATGTTATACTGAAAACCAACAATGCATGTAACAGTCAAGATGTGTCCTTCTTCTCTCTCTCTCCTTTCTTTATTGTTGTTATTGTTAAATGGTACAGTACAGTCTAATGATTGTAGTACTGAAGGATTTATGGAACTAAGTTTACTGGAGGCTAAAACT